TCTGGTATATGAAGTTCCTTATAGCCGAAATTAATTAAACCAAAATGAAGCTAAGATCTGTTTTTAACATTAGTTGTATTGAGTTTCTGTAATACTTTATAATCAATCCAGAGAGCGTTCCGAGACTTAACAGGTTAAATATGAAATGTATATATTGTTTCCGTCAAAAATTTAAATTAATTCAGGGACTTCTTAATAAAGATCAATAATTACTTTCCAGTTTAAGTCTGTTCTTACTACACTCACTAGAAGAATAGGAGTAGTGATAAATGCTACAAGACTCAGCCCCTAGAATGGCTTGAAACTAGTCGAGTTCCTCGTCAAAAAGTTACGCGAGTAACCACTATACTCAGAATTATTGAACGGTCAAGTAACCCAGTCCTTAGCAATTGTTTTCGGCACAAAATCGATACTAAGGAACAGTTTAAGTAATCGTTTAATGTCTCTGAGTAAAACAGTAAGTTAAATGTAATTAATTTAATATTAGAAGGCCCGATGTTTCAATGCTCAGTTAAATTTTTGAATATTTGACAATACCTCCATACTAGAAACTGCAAATGTCAAATTTAATCTACAGTTAAGAATTATCTGTTGATTGAAAAATCGGCCCTGAGAGTTATAATACAAATTATATATACTTATACGAAAACTGTACAATATATCAATGTCATTTATACAAGCTTCAATATACAATATTATGTATTTCTATATCCATACTGCATGTAAAAAATACTAAAAATAATTAAAACAAAAAAAAATCTGTATAATAATAATTTTCAAAATATTTTACTATGGCAACACAATAGGAATTTATTGTAGTTTCTATATATATAGCATATATATATACTTGTTATTTTAAGTTAATTCTAAGAGCATTTTTATATAAACCAACTAGCTAGTAGTTCTGCCACTTTCAATTATAAATTATATATTATAATTATATATAGCTGTGAGGGAGTAGGCAGAACTGTAGCTTCACTCACTCATCATATATTTAGTATGTACACATAAATGCATCTTTTGTCATAGTATTTCAGTACCTTTGTAATAGGAAATAACTCTCTATATAGCTCTCTTTCACACGTTCGAGTGTGAGAGAGACAGCGATATAGGTCACACAAAACCTAATGCCATAGTTTTCTTTCAGTATTTTCGAACAATATATCAGTGGTAATGTTTCAATGGCAGCAGATTAAAGTGTACCAACCTATGATTGACTTTCAACCTTATTGATTTACGTTAAATTACGTAAATTTTGGTAGAACCACAATCATTTTTAACTACCTCTCAACATTATTACATTATAGTTAGGTTGAAAATGTAAGTAATTTTAGTATACTTTGATATGCTGTTTGAAGGTTAGGTACCACTGATACAGAGTCTGTATTTAGGAATTAACCTTATAGTGTATAAATACTAATGGGACGCATTCGAAAATGGGCGTGGTTTTATATTTTAAGTAATTTCTATTATTAACAAGCTGAGCCGGCTTATCAAGAAATATCTCTTTTTTTACATAAGAATCTTCTCCTAATAATAACAAACACAACAAAACAAGAATTAGTGAAATCGGTCCAGTCATTCACGCGTGATGCCGTCACCAAGGGAACAAGGGAACAATATATATATAGATTATGGTCATTTGTCAATTCCATTTAGATTTCAAGTTATAATAATAACTCACATTTATAGCATAATATAACATTACGCCTTTTATCCCCGAAGGGATACGCAGAGGTGTACATAACAGCACTTCCTGCCACTGTACAATGTAACACTCACTTTTCATTATTTATGTTACGAGTTCCATGTAATAGGGGGTGAGCCTATTGTCATATACCGGGCACAATACTAGACTCCGTGCTACTACTGAATTTTTTTTACATTTACATCTATAAATCCAAGTTCAATATTCTCCAATAGTAGATGTACTTCAAGTACACTAATTTTTTATACGACTTCAAAAATAGTAAGAGGTTGTCAGTTCCAATTGTATGTATGCATACATATGTATATACATACGTATGTTTCTGCGCGATTATCTCACGATTAGCTGAACCGATTTCGATGCGATTTTCAGAAAAGTGTTTGTTACACTTTTTTTTTAAGGGGGAAAATCATTGAATGACTGCTCCCGTCTGGGTGAGGCTGGAGGGAGTGTCAGACTCTTACTGACTAAAAACCACCCCGTTCCTTCTCCTGCACGTCGAGCCGGAGCCCCGGTTACCCGTTAGGTTCTCCGTGACATTTGTAACAGTTAGGAGAAGGTTTCAGTATATTACTTAACCATTTGAATGCACCGATATGAGACACAATAGAAAATACACTGTGTCTCGCGTGGATCCACGTCTTAGACACACAAAAGGTTAAGCGACTTCAAAGAAAAAGAGGAGCTTGAAGTCGGATTTTTCAAACGTAGTTTATACAATTTATATGCCCGTTATATATTTGTAATAGAGGGCAAGCGTATCACCAACTACTGAGTACAGTTCTGGGTTCGACCATAACTATATTACTAAAACTTTCGCGAGATAAATTAAATTTATTATTATGTTTTCGGCTTCCTCACGTAACTGTTTGTGACAGAGCGACAGTCGCAGCGTCGCGTCTCGCGGAATGTTGCTCATGAATGTGAGCCTCTAATATGGAAATGGATGTAAACTATGTAGTTAAGTTCCTCGTCAAACAGTTACGTAAGTAAGTCTAAAACATTATAATCGATCCACCTTTCGATCCTTTCCTATTTCGAAATTAAAAATAAAACCACGCCTATTTTGAACGGCGACCAAACCTTGAATAAAGCGCAATCTATTATTTTTGTTATAAATATTACTTCTATAACATTATTCTTATAACATGTAACATAATTATTATACCAGCATTATTTATAGTATAGGTCGACAAACGATCAGACGGATCACCTGATGGTAAGCAATCGGCGTCGTCCATTGGCGAACACCAGAGGTTACTAGGCCGATGCCACCCTTTCAAGGCTTTGTGTTCTAAAATGCCATTTTAGGCCTAATTTATAATATTCTCGACTATAATTTGGGCCGTTACACATAACAACATATATATTGACTATGTCAGTTGGTCTATAACATATAACTATGTATGTATTACTATTATTGGCACTGCGTAGCGTATATGTGTCTGTTTATATACAGTTATTGATAAAATATTAACAGCTTTGCAAGAATGTGTTATTAACATATGGTAAGCAATCAACCTCCTTCAAATGGAGCCTCTTTTAATATCACTCCTGATATTATGTACTTTATTTTCGCATTTCATAAGTAATTTTGAAGAAATAAATATTTGTTATTATAATAACTATCGTGAGACATACTAAATTAACTAAAATCGCGGGTTACTCACTTTAATATACTGAGAAAAGCTCTACTAGTTTCGAAGCACAGAGGGGTTCTTCCTCATGAGCAGCGTGCGCGGTCACGGCGACGTCGCGCAGGTATAGTGTGGTTCGAAACTAGTAGAGCTTTTCTCAGTATATTCACGTGAGTAACCCGCGTATTTAATTAATAAAATAAGTATTTCATTATAAGTTAATAACACAGTCATGCGAGGCTGTTATCGTTTTACTAGTAACTCTATATCTAACTCGAATCGGTAAGTGTATGTATGATCACCAGTACAGTTACTATAACTGTTTTATTTTACAATCTTTCGCCCAAATACTGACAAGCTACTCAATTTTATCTTGTACTTAAATATCGTACCATCTCTGTCATTTTACAAAGAATTTCTAGAGACAGAACTATAGTTAAGCGCGACTTAAAGTTGAGTGACCTTTGAGTATTTCAGCGTTAATGTTTTTTTTATTAAATGTGTGCTGATGAAATGAATTTTAACGTATCTTTGCTCACTAGATGGTGCTATCTAGCGTATATAGAGAATGTACATTTACCCTCGAAGAGGTAGGCAGAGGTGCACATTACGGCGCTTAATGCCACTGTACAATGTAACACCCACTTTTTTATGAATCCCATGTAATAGTGGGTGAGCCTATTGCCATATACCGGGCACAATTCCAAACTCCGTGCTAGTATTGAGATTTTTTTTAAAAACCCAGTAATGCTTTGCCCGACCTTGCCCGGCAGTCGCACTTGCGACCACTCGGTCAACGAGGCAGTCCTAAAGATAATGTCTGAGTGTCAAACTTTATAACAGTTAATATATGATAGGTATAGTGATAGACAAACGAGACCACTAAAACCACCTAGTGAGCAAAAGCGTTAGAATTCGTTTACTGTAATAATGTTTCCGCGTACTATTTATATTATATAAGGCAATTGAATATGACCGGTGATCATACTGAAACTACATATTATGTTTGTATATATGTTTGTCGTATAAACGTATTTATGCTGTAACTATATAATTTTATGTATGTATATTTATTTATTAGAGAGTTGACATTGACTGGGCAGTACTTGTATATTTATTAATAACAGAGCAAAATGATGATTCTATATAACTTTTTATAATAAATTATTAATAGACTGTTTCGTTCATCAAGAGTATATCTAAGAAAAGGATATCCGGTACGATTTCCAAGTCAGTCAAAGGTATATTAAAGAGATTCTCCTTTAGATCACCGAGAAATACCGAAAAAAGCCTGACAACATTTGCCCAACTCGGAAATCAAAGCTGAGACCCTTTGCTCAACAATCGCGATTGCAGTCAATATTTCAAAAGTATCTTGTAATTGATTTGACTATGACTTTGAACTGAAAAGTGATAAATGACATCTACAATTTTGACAGTATTGCCCTGTCAATGTGAAAATATCTCTATTCATAGACAGCTATTATACCAAGTAATCGCTGGAATGTACAATGTACAATATATTACACAATGTTTTCTATATACACTTTATATAATATAATATAATCTATGTATATTATATAATAATAGGGACGATGACTTATTTCTGTTTAAATGTCCGTCTGGTAGATTATATTAAAACATTAGACACGTATTTTTTCTTTTCTTACGGAAACAAATACTTTCGACTTGACATCGTGTGACGTCACAATTTAGTACATTTTATACTGACCTCCCTCTACAAAACTTTAATTCGATTTCTCGAAGTATTGTTTTCTTATACGACAAAATAAAAAAAATATGTGTCTAATACTTTTTCATTGTCTAAGTGACGAACTAATGGCCGTTAACACAAACCACCACGAACTGTTACTTAACTAAGAGTATCTTAGTATGACGTGGCACCTAAAGTAACCCCTTGTACTATTAGGTGCCACTTATATTTTGGTGAAAACGGCCATAACAGATTTTTAAATTTCATGTCTTGTCATCGTCCCTATTTATTTAATTTCATTACAATATTATATAACGCTGCCTTTTAGTTTCCCTGTTACTAAAGCGATATATATATAGATTTGAACTTTCATGTATTGCTATGTTTTCAGTTTTGTGTAGTTGTATAAAAATATATTTTTGTTATATAACTTTTATATATGGTGTTACAAAATGAAGTCACGATTTCGTATTGGTTTGAGGATTTATAACTGAATTACTGATATTTTAACACTAAAATTTAAAAAGACATTTCAGCATCGCATGACATCTGAGCCTTGATGTCATACGATACTGTAAATTGAACGATGACGTAGCGGGCTCCTGCTACTAAATTATAATCCACTTTATCTTAGTACAGTTCTTACATCGACTATACAATTAATACAGAAACAACTTATTCTGTCATCCAGAAATTGTTGTTCCGGATGTGGGCGTGATCTGTATGCGAAATTGTATGTTTGTAGATGGACACGCGACATAGGAGACAATTCACGTTTCTTAAAGACGACTTATATTACCCTAAGTACTAGTTGGTAGTCTTGTTGAGTCCTATGTGATAGAGAATGAGCCTATCTCTATACATCGGACACAAATCCAGACTCCGTGCTACTTAATTACAAAATTTTGGAAAACTTTTTTTTTACGTTCCCCACACTAAGATGTCCTCCTGTATCGTGTGTGTTTACAAACATACAAGTTCACATACACATCACACACAGACCAGAAACAACGATCTGTGGATGACACAAAGTGTTGTTCCGTGCACGAATCGAACCCGTGACACTTTGTACGGCATCGAGTTCCCTAGGTACCGCATCCACCGTGCAGTCGATTTCGCCATTTTTATATAAAATGACGTTTAAAGTAATTCAGTTACATATCTTAATAAAATTATAGTGTTATACATTTTGTAACACTATATATATAATATAGATTCTATATATTTGTATGTATTTCTGTTGTATATTTATATATAATAGTTTGCGTGTACGTTTGTATCGCTACGTGCGCGCGGCAGTGTTGTTGGCGGCGGGCTTCGGGGGGAGGCGGGGGGCGCCACTGTAGCGGATAAAATATTATATTAGATAATTTTTAGATCAACACGTGAAGTAGTAATGAGGCTTATTCTATATTACACTGATTAACGTTTGTGTTACATCAAAATGCATCATTGAACTATTAATTTCTTAATGAAATAGTGACAGTACAGTTAAATATTACAATTCTCATTCAGATCTTTTAAAGTATCAGAATTGTTTATCAATCATTAGTGAAATATAGAATAAGCATATGTATACAACTATAGTTATATTTTACAAGATTATTTTTGCTGAATTTATACGTCGTGAAATATATTTCGTTTTCGTCCCGAAGTAAAATGGTTCCGTCTCGGTAATACAATAGTTTTACAAACAAATAAAAAAACTGATGAACCATTGCAGAAAGCAAACTTCGAAAGCGCATACGAACTCATAGTACATTATCAAAACATCACGCCATGTAATTGTCGAAGAGGTATTTCTCGTCGGGAGCCACGTGCGATGCGAATAGTGCCTACAAATATACGTCTAGTATTTCATGTGCGTATTTCCATGAACATATTATTTTTTGTTTTCACTTTATACATCGAAAGTACTCCTTATGGCAAGTTCATTTGCCGCGAGACTAATACGACTGTTTCGTATAACAGCTTTACATTATATAAATTCAACTAAAATATGTTTGTAACGAAAGAATTAACTAAAAATTCGAGTTCCGTAAATATACTGAGAAAAGCTCTACTAGTTTCGAGTCACAGAGGGACTCTGCCTCATGAGCAGCGTGCGTAATCCGGTATGACTCGAAACTAATAGAGCTTTTCGAGCTTAAGAGATTTAGTTATTACAAAAACATAAATGAATATAATAATAATGTAACTCACGTGTTATTATGTCTCCGCTGCAGTATAGTAGAGTGCGCGGGGCGCAGTAACTCGGGCGGGGGCGCGGGCCGCGGGGGCAGCGGGGGCGGCGCCCCCATCGACCCCGTACTACTGGTCGCACCCGTGGGTGGGGGCGCGGGGGCGGGGGCGCAGGCTGCAGGGGGAGAACCCGCGCATACTGACGACTGGATGGTAGAATAGTTAGATTAGGAAACAATGACATTGTTTAGAAAATCTTTAAAAAATATTTAGTATGCACGACACGAATGGTATTGAAAAAATAAAGAATGTTGAACATTGCAAGCTAATCTTGATGATACTATTTAAACATCATTTGAGAAGTAATTCACCGAAGGCCTCTTCTTTTCTATATTAACTATAAGTCACTCAATAACAGTACCTATTTTATATATTACTTTTAATATTATATTTTTATTCCGAAGTGGATTGATACAGTTTAAGAAAAAGGTATTTAAGAAGAAAAGTTCAAATAGATAAACTTTTCACTGTGGGAGAGCCATGCTTCGGTACTATTGGGCCGACTCGACCGGAGTGGTACCACCAACGAGCAGAAGACCAACGCTTGCGTTGCTTCACGTCGTGTGACTGAGGTTACCGGAGACCCAATTACCCTCCCATTCCCCAATCTCCCCAATCCCTGAATCCCCAACGATCCTCAAACTCCTAATCCCCAAAAGGCCGGTAACGCACTTGTAACGCCTCTGGTATTCCAGGTGTCCATGGGCGACGTCGATTGCTTACCATCAGGTGATCCGTCTGCCCGTTTACCGGCTTATGCCATTAAAAAAATTTGGTACTAATACGACTAGTGTCACCATAATTGTGTGTATAGTCTATGTATAACGTATGATACACGAGTGTACACGTGTGGGGCGGTACTCACGTGCGACAGCGGCGTGGGCGGCGCGGCGGAGTCCCGGCGCCGCCGCGGGGGCAGCGGGGGCGGCGTGCCGCACGACACCGCTGCGGACACATACCACGGACTATTAACTAGCTGTCGCCCACGTTACTAATGATTCCTGTTTTATCTCATGGGACCATATCGAGATAAAATAATATACCAAATTTCATCAAAATCCGTTCAGTAGTTTCAGCGTGATTGATGGATACACATCCTAACGAAGAAACTTTCATTTATAATATTAGTATGATGTCACTAAACATCAAGTTACAAAACCAGTATATCTTGGTCTTCTCCACGACTACTAGCTTATATCATAAAAAAAACATTGTATTAACTATTAGCCACTCATCTTTATCGGATACTTATATGAAAGTGATGAAACAGGTGCTAAAATTAATTGAATCGCGGGTTACTCACGTGAATATACTGAGAGAAGCTCTACTAGTTTCGGACCACAGAACAGGGTTCAGCTTTTCTCAGTATACTCACGTGAGTAACCCGCGATTATAGTTAATTTAGTATGTCGCACGATAGTTATTATAAAAAGGTGCTAAAATTGCTTGAAAACAAACTAAGTTTTCTTCAATAAAGCTAAGATATGACTATTTATCACTACACAGTATAACACAAAGTCGCTATCCGCCGTCTGTCTGTCCCTATATATGCTTATATCGGAATACTCAAACGCTACTCAATTTTAAGTCGTGCTTAAGTATAGTTCTATCTCTACAAATTCTTTGTAAAATGACAGAGATGGCACGATATTTGAGCACGACTTAAAATTAAGTAATGTTTCAGTATTCCGGCATTAGATCTTTAAAACTACGCAACGGATTTTGATGCGGTTTTTTTAATAGATAGAGTGATTCTTAAGGAAGGTTTATATGTATAATAGATGCATATCGGTCGCTAGTAAGCAACAGTCGGTATAGTACTATGTCTGTACTCACGTAGATGCGGCGTGAGTGGCGGCGCGGGCGGGGACGGCGTGGGCGCGCCGCGCCACTCGAACTTGAACGCCACGCCGCCTCTGTACCGCGCATACACGGGATGTATATTATATTTGTTGTGTACTAATTAAACATTCACTTATTTAGGGACCCTCGCCATGAACTGTGTTAAATAAACTAACACGAATTTATACTTATCTAAGGATTCGACATATTTTTAACTTTATATTTGACATAATATAAAATTCTGCGATGCAATTGAGATAATTTGAAAAAAGGCCTTGTCGAAACAACCCTTGTTCGACCGCGTTCGATCGCGTTTGTGGCTACAGGACTAATAAGGACCACTTACAACAATAAGCTACAAGTTAATTATTATGTTTTAGCTTTACTCACTTAGCTTAGCTTTACTGTTTGACGAGGAACTCGACTAGTTTCAAGCAATGTTCATAGTCGAGTAGCCAGTAGCAGCGCGATAGTCGCCGCGTCGCGGAATGCTGCTCATGAATATGAGCCTCTAGCATGACTTGTAACTAGTCGAGTTCCTTATCAAACTATTACGTGAGTAAAGCGAAATCATAATAATTCATTAAGTATGTCTCACGGAAGCCTCAATACAAGCTACAAGTATGCCGAGTGCGTACCTGTCGGCGGGCGGGTGCGGGCTGGCGGGCGGTTGCGGCGCCGGGGACCGCTTCGGGGACACCGCCGGCATCCTGCAGGGGGGGGGGGGCAAACATTAAACTTTTTCTCGAGTAACAATCGGAGTTTCTTGCTCGTTCTTCTCCATTTGAATCTACATTTTGAAAAGAGCACCTAGCTTCACTGACGGACTTACTGACAGACTATAATTTATTTTGTATTTGTTGACAATTATAGTTTAATGGTGATAAAATGCTTTTACTTCTGTAGTAACATCACACTAAGACCTCCGACATACTACAAAACATCATATGTATGTCTCTCTCTTACTCTTTTTTAAGAGGGGAAAATGTCTTCTTCTACCATTTGCCATGTCATTTTTTCTGATAAAATTCCGAATTTTAAAAAGTTGCGTTTTAGTTAAATATTTGTATAGAATCTAATTTCAAAGATAAGTAATAACATTCCACGCGTTTGTAATTACTAATTACAGATAGAAAACTGTTTAAAGTAACGGCACGCATTACTAATATAAACAAAATGTCTGAGTCGAAAAAATATACAATTATAAGGCGAAACTGTGTGTACCAATAGTCTATTCACAATAACATTTATTTATTTATTTTAATTATTTATTTATTAGACAGAAGTCAAAAAATCTTATTTTTTTTTTTTTTTTTTTTTTAAATCTCCTTATTTCCCTGCAATCTGCCCAGTTGGGCATTTAACTGGTGGTTAAGAGGTTCATGTATTGTGACATGTACGGAGAACGCCCAGTGGTGTACCCGTCTTCAATTATTGCATCCCTCAAGTTGGATGTTTTTGCTGAGACAGGAGTAGGTCCTGTGGAGCTCTCCTTTTGATGCGCTTAAAGGTGCTGGCAGACTTCATAAGCTCACTAGCAAGCTTGTTGGGGTGACTCCTTATGCGACGAGAATACGACTTCAGTTTGTTTATGACTTCCTCCTTCACTGGTCTTATTTTTAAGTCTCGGTGTAATTGGGTATTACTTATATACCATGGGGCATTTGCAATCATTCGAAGCATTTTTGATTGGAAGCGTTGTAAAATGTCCAAGTTTGAGTTGGCTGCCGTTCCCCAGAGTTCTGCTCCATATGACCATATTGGTTTTAATATAGCTTTGTAGAGGAGAAGTTTGTTGCTTAGTGACAGGTTTGACTTTCGTGCCATGAGCCCGTAGAGATTTCGAAGTTGTGTACTTAGAGCTTTCCTTTTAGTGAATATATGCTTCTTCCAAGTTAATCGTTTGTCCAAGTATATTCCCAAGTATCGCACGTCGTCCAGCTGAGGAATTGTTATGCCATTAAAAACAACTGGGGGACATGATGCATGTCTGAGAGTGAAAGTTACGTGTACAGATTTGGATTCATTAGCTTTTATTCTCCAATCCTTTAACCAGGCCGAAACGTCATTAAGGCTTTTTTGCAGCATGTCGGACGCTGCCACGGGACAGTCGTGTGCAGCAATAAGAGCAGTATCATCAGCGAATGTCCCTACGAGGACCTCGTCGGAAGTTGGTAGGTCAAAAGTATATATTAGGTATAAGATAGGACCCATTACGCTGCCCTGAGGAACACCTGCTTGGATTTTATAAAGATTACTTCTGGCTTCTCCATGTTTTACATAGAAGTGTCGTTGTTGGAGGTATGATTTGATGATGAGATAGATGTTGACTGGTAAGGCTTGTAGGATTTTAAATAAGAGTCCCTCGTGCCACACACGATCGAAGGCTTGCGATATGTCTAAGAATGCCGCTGAACAGTATTTCTGGTTTTCAAAGGCATGGTTTATCTTTTCAACCAAACGATGTACCTGTTCAATTGTCCCATGAGCTTTGCGAAAGCCAAACTGATGAGTAGGGATTAATTTGGCCTTCTCAAGCTCTGGAGTCAGTCGTTTTAAGATAAGAATTTCCATTATTTTTGAGGCAACAGGCAGGAGACTTATCGGTCGATATGATGATACATTTTCCGGATCCTTCCCAGGTTTTGGAATGACAATAATTTCTGCTACTTTCCATTGAGCAGGGACGTATTCATATCTTAAGATTGAGTTATAAATAGCTGTTAATAGGGTTATTGCTTTGTGAGGGAGTTCTTTCATCACCTTAGATGTAACAAGGTCATAACCAGGCGCTTTATTCAGGTTGAGTTTTCTGATTATAGATGTAACCTCTTTTTTAGTGAATTTTTTGATTGGGGGTGCAAGTTGGTACGGTGCTGAAAGAGCCTCCATTACTTCACTCACTTTTGTTGAACCCGAGCTTGGATTTGGAGTAAACACTCTAGACAAGTGTTCTGCAAACAGTGTGGATTTGTCTGTGTCGCTTTTAGCCCAAGAGCCGTCATCCCGTCGCAAAGGTGATTGGAACTCAATTGGTCCTTTCAGAGATTTGGTCACTTTCCAAAGCGAGTAATCAGTAGCAGATGTTGCATCCATTTTAGACAGACGATCTTCCAGATTTTTGTTTTTTATCATCAAGAGGATATTTTTCACTTGCTTGGTTAGATGGTTAAGTATTTTCTTGTCACTAGAGTGTCGAGTTTGTTGCCACAGTTTCCTTGCGCGTCGTTTTCTTTGTATTATATCCGTAACGATCTGCGGATACAAGGGAATCGTAATCACAGCTCGTCTGAGCGGAGTGGCATCCCAAGCAGCCGATTGAACGCATTGGTTAAAGATCTCTACTGCTGCTGTAATGTCCTCGTCTGATTTGAGAGGAACGCGTTCGTTAAGTGAATTTTCTATAATTTCTCTAAAAAGTTCCCAATTGGTGTTCCTTGAGTGCAGTTTGCAGGGTCTGACAACTTCTACGAGGTCATTTTGGAGCTTCGCTATAATAGCTGTGTGGTCCGAGGATAGGTCATAAGTAGGGTGGCAAAGCAACGCCAAACTAGAAAGACCTTTGGTAATAAAAAAGTCTACCAGGTCTGGTTTCTTTTTTGGATCAGAAGGCCAGTATGTTGGGCACCCAGTAGATGTGTAGCCTAGATTTAACTTTTGGATGGTTTGCATGAGTTCTCGACCCTTTGTGGTGATAAGTCTTGAGCCCCAGTCGGTATGTTTGGCGTTATAATCCCCTCCTGCAATGAATTTGCTGCCAAGTTTGCCAAAGAATGCCGTATATTGATCAGATTTCAATTTATGCTTAGGGGGAGTGTAAAGAGCAGATATTTGTATTGGGCCATTAGAGCTTTCTATGGTGATGATGGTGGCTTGGATTTCCTCGCTGCGGTGAGAATTGTTACCATAGTGCTTGATATTTTCTTTTACAAGTATAGCGGATCCTCCGTGTGCGGTGCCATCTGGGTGATTTGTGTGATACATTTTATACTTCGGAATTTTAAAGTGACTTTTTTCGGTGAAGTGTGTTTCCGATATCAACATGAAATCAACATTATGTGTGTGCAAAAAAACAATTATTTCCTGTGTGTGGTTAGCCAGCCCATTAGCATTCCATAAAGCCAGGGTTAGAGGCTTGAGTGGACTCAGAAGCGGGGGGGCAGGGTGGGCCGTCTGCTTCCCGCCTTGACAAAATCCTGCTCGAGCCCCCGAGAATGTGACTGAGGCCTTAATTCAGTCATTAGACTTATTAGAAGGTTTGTCATGTTTGTCATCTGCTGCATCATTTGCTTTAGCATTTCAATTAATTCCTTTAAGTCAGTGATGTTCTCACAACCTTTTTCAGGGGCTGATTTGTTGGAGTCGACCGGGATGGATTTTTCTGGTTGGGATTGGTTTTGTTCGTTCGTTTCCCGTGGTTCAGATGGGTGTGTAGCCTTCTGTTTAGAACCATTGCGAACAGCATCAGCGTAGTGTTTGCTTGGCAGTTTGTTTGGTACGAAATTCATATCAGTAACTACCGGATTTGGTGTGGCTCCTTTTGTACGTAGGGAGGGATATTTCTGTTTCTGTAGATCTTTATAGACAGAACAACCTTTATAATTTGCAGGATGATTTCCGCCACATAAGGCACATCTAACGTCGTCAGACCGTTCCTTGCGCGAGCACGCAGAAGATAGGTGAGTACCCGCACATTTTATGCATCTTGGGTTTCGACGGCAATAGGACTTCGTGTGCCCGTAGGCTAGGCAGTTCGCACATTGAGGTATTGTGCGCTTTGATCTTGGGGGCTCCATCTTTACACGGCAATGCAGAAGGGACTTAATGTTGTAGATTTCCTTGTTGTTTGAGCTTGACTGAAGTTCAACCACAAACATATGTAATGGAATCTTGGTTATTGCTTGTTTAATATTCCAAATGTTTTTGGCGACGTGTCCAAGGCTGGCTAGAGCTTCTCTGATTTCTTCAACATCCGTTGATGGGTGCATATTTTTGAGGATCACTTTGAATCCCCTGTCTTCTTTAGGTTTGTAGGTGAAGTATTCTGTTCCCTTAGCATCCAGCTCCTTGACGATTGTGCGGTAAGCGTCGCTTGTTTTGGGTTGAATTTTGACCTGGTCCTTCGGTAGGACTTTAATTTCATAAAGATCTGGTACAGTCTCATTGAGCAATTTAGTTAAAGGGCGGATATTTGTGACTTTATCAATAAACAGTGGTGGAGGCTTTGGCAATTTTTCTGTTGTTAGGGGCTGATTTTCTACTTTCTCTTGTTCACTATCGAGGACGGAGAAGGTGTTTGAAGTCGATACGGGCTGGCTTAGCCAGTATGTGTTAGGTTTCGATTGCTTTAGGCTTCTGTCAGCTTCAGGGCTGTTTCTTTGACGTTTTCGGTTTTGAACTTCTACCCACGGTGAGTTATCAGTATTTTGAGGGCCACGATTTTCCACTAGAGCGTCGGCATTGTTTTCGTCACAAATGTTTTGACTGCAGTCAGATAGAGATTGCGATCTCGGCCTATTAAATAGACCAGGGTGAAAAATTTGCTGCGTTAGTTTAAGTTTATTTTTGTTAAAAGTAGAGGGTTCCATGATGTTCCCACGAGTAAGGCAGATTTAAAGGTCGCACTACCGGGTTACTCCCATTCCGGCAGTGAAGGCTACATACTATAACGTTCGCCAGGTGCGTTATAGTTGGCGCTAGCGACTGATCAACCCACCAGCCATGCATCCTATTAACGCGTATAATTTTTGAGGTACACTTTGTAATGAAAGTGACAAATAATTTCAAGAAGGTTTCTAATTCGATCATGAAGACCGACAAATATGGAGGTTAGTTTTCCGGGAGTGTCGAAAATTGGCAATCGGGTACTTTCCATAGTCAAATATAAATTATTTCGACTGTTGAATACAATAAAATATTAAAAAATAATCACACTTGATATTATGACTCACAAAATTTTAGTATTTTTCTAGCAAATTTTTAAGAAATAAATATGCTGTTTGATGCTAAAAACAACGTGACGTCACAATACACAATCTCGGTACAAAATTCATAGAAAACTGTCGTTATTGACAGTTCGAAAAACGTATTGAATTTGACTAGTTGGCAAGTACCTAATATGTAGATTTGGTGAGTTGAGTGGACTATAGACAATATAAATAACAATATTTACCAGGAAGTCCACGAGTCTATATACGTATGTAACACAAAGTCGTATTGATCGAAGTCAACAGCTACAGCAACAACTGCGCAGTGAGAAGGTACCGACGCGACAGACTGACGGACACGCCGACTAGACCCGCGCTAGATAACTGTACAGGGAACGTCAACCTGTATTGTCATTTTTTAATTATTTTTTTTATATATTTCATAGGTGTGTTTGATCTTTATCTCGCCCGGTGCTAAGTGATGACTGCAGATTATCAATTTTTATACATTGTACGAGCTGTTTGCCCGTACACTGAGATGTGTTTGTTGTGTGTAATATGTTGTCAAAGAAATAAAATTACTGTTCTTGTATCCGTTCTCGAAGAGAGTATTTATTGTACTACTTTAGTTAATTAGTGTGGGTATAAATAACATAATTTTGTTAGTAGGTCGCGTCATGAATGCGCCAATATCGCTGCACGGTTGACGCGGTAGCTGAGCAATTAGCTGCCGCGCTACGTGTCGCGGGTTTGATTCCCGCAAAGAACAACTCTTTATGTAATCCACAAATTGATATTCCGGATCTATGTGTGACGTGTATGTGAACTTGTATGTTTGTAAACGTACACACGACACAGGAGGAAATCTTAGTATGGGGCAACGATTTTATAACAAAAAGAATAAAAAAAATGCTTATATAAGAGCATTGTTTTTATTTTTTTTTACTAACGCTTCATGCACAAAGTGTACACAAGGCGGACTTAATGCCGCAGGCATTTTCTCCCAGTCTGACCTTTGGGTGATGCAGAGAAGAGTGAATGGTAGGAGCAAGAAGCAAGCAACGATTTAATTGAGAAAATAGAAGATTATACTAACATATTTCAGATATGAACATAAATAAATATAATTATGTTTTCGAATGTAAAATGTTGAATATCCATACAGTTGCCTCATATTACATAACAGTGGGGCATGTTGTACATTAGCGCGGTAACTCGACACTTGCCATCTGTGCGATAGTGTGGTGTAGCGAGATATATTTTGGAGGTCGACTTCTACCAGTATTGTATATTTATTTGTTCAATGATTAGTTATGTACGTTTGTATGCATGTAAGTATGTTTATTCTAGATCGTTCGAAGGAGTCTACTTGATAAATAACTAGCTTTTGCAATCTACTTCGCTCGGGTTCCCGTAGAATAAACAATTGTGATTAATGCCTTCTCCGTGCGAGAAAATGGTTGCTCAGCAGTGGGTATTTATAAAGTCAAAATCAAAATCATTTATTTCAATTACACCAGGAAGGCACTTTTGAATATCAAAACAAAATATTGAAATATTAAAGAAATATTTCAATACATCTCACAGTTACCTAAAAATTTTACCATTTCTGCAAACTAACCTCACTATCTATACTAATATTATAAAGCTGAAGAGTTTGTTTGTTTGTTTGTTTGAACGCGCTAATCTCCGAAACTACAGGTTCGAATTAAATAATTCTTTTTGTGTTGGATAGTCCAGTTATCGAGGAAGGCTATAAGGCTATAGAACATCACGCTACGACCAAAAGGAGCTGAGCAGAGCGTGTGAAACCGCGCGGAAGTAGCTAGTTCAATAATAAAAAAAAAATATCAGTCTGTCGATCAGGGGTCTAGTTGTTCTATTTGGTCGTCCCAAGGTGTAGATTCCTATATAGAAGAACGAACAAGAGACTCCATATGTTACAATCAGGTTCACAATACAATTGTAGGTTACATTACAAGATGTTGACGTGATGCGGAGATACAAAGTAGTCGGTACATACTTGAACAGTTCATGCTTGGGACTGGGCTGCGGCCGGTCGGGCGGCTCCGGGGGAGGCTCGCATGTAGACGACGCTGGAACCATATACATGATTATTGTATCATCATCATAACATCACCCCTTGCTAGGCAGTCGCACTTGATGCTGAATTATATGCTTTGTAACAAAGCCACATCTGTTGAATTTGTTTTTATTTTAAAATGATTTCAGTAATTATAAATAATTGTAAATAATACTCACGTATATATGAATGTGAGGGGGAGGACGGTCGGCGTGGCGGCGCGGGGGGACGCTCCGGCTCCCCGCGGGGGAGTAAAGGGGGAACTTGCTCCTGTTGGACGATAAAATCAATTTAGTTATCATAATGAATTGTTATCAAATGTCATTACATCACGAAGTCGCTTGCGAATTGATTCGCATCGCGCATCAAAATCTTATCTTCCCAAAATCTTCTTTGTTTCTTTTTTCTGTATCTCCTAAGCAATAACAGAAGTGCACACTTCATTTTACGATCCATGTCACGACCTAGTTTTCAATATAAAATACGTTTAGTACGGTTGACGGTCGTCGAAGGAATGGTCACCCTGGGAGACGCCTTGTCGCACGAAATCGAAAGTTTTGTGTACGAGCCCAGAGTCTAGTCGACCCTCAGGTTCAACGTTAAAGAGCAATGAGGAGTGTCACCAGAAACCTCACATCGGACACTGGTGCCCCGTAGAATCGGTAAAAGCATTCCGATAGACTTACTTCTTGTGACTACAATAAAAAATTCATCTCGTTACATTGTATTGTGTTTATGTTTTTATAATAACTATCGTGAGTCATATTAAATTAACACGTTAACCGCCGCGTTGGTCACCGGTGACCTACGTTAGCGGAGGATTTGCCTTCAGCGGTTTTTTGTCGGCAGTCAAAGGCTTAACTAAAAATCGTGGGTTACTCTCGTGAATATACTGAGAAAAGCTCTATTAGTTTCGAGCCACAGCGGGGCTCTTCCTTATGAGCAGCGTGCGCGGTCGCGGCGACGTCACGTAGCCTATCGCCGCGAGAGCTTTTCTCAGTACACTCACGTGAGTAAGCCGGGATTTTAGTTAATTTTGTATTAAGGATACTTCATAGGTCTAGTAGTTTCAACAGTCAATCAGTGAATGAGTGAGTCAGTGAGTGTGTGAGTGAGTGAGTGAGTGAGTAAGTGAATCAGAAGTAGATATGTGAGTCAGTAAGTCAGTAATGGACGGTGTAAGTATGCTCACCGGGTCAGGTCTCCGCGGCGCGGCGTGTCCCCTGGCGGAGTAGAAGAGGTCGGCGTCGACGATGGGGTTCCGGGGGGACAGGGTCCTACGCTCGCACGACGGCCATTGTCTGGAACAACGTCACATCACATCACATCACGCCTTTTTATCCCCAAAGGGGTAGGCCTCTGCACCTTACGGTACTTAATGCCAATGTAACATCCACTTTTCACTATTTATGTTACGAGTCCCATGTAATAGGGGGTGAGTCTATTGCTATATACCGGGCACAATTCCAGACTCCGTGCTACTACTGAGAATTTTTTAGAAACCCAGTAGTACTTTGCCCGACCCGGGAATCGAACCCGAGACCCCATAATAAAGACTAAAATTTTACTAAAAAGCGGTTTTTTCAATATTACAAACAGACACTACAATTGTATTTATCTACAAAATGTACGATACTCACCGGTCATGTCGCGGCGAATGTCTGTCTCGCGGGGACGGGGGTTCGTCTCTTGTGCTGTTTCTAATCAAACAATACAAATGTGTTAATATTTTATTAAACTTACTACAATAAGGACAAAGCACGAGGAACTACACGCTTAGTACAATTGGCTGCCGTGCAACGTGTAGCGGGTTTGATTCCCGCACAGAGCAACTCTTTGTGCGATCCACAAACTGAATGTTAAATTGAATGTTTGTAAACGCACACACACATGACACACAACGTTTTTTGTTTAAGAAAAGAAAACAAGTTACACAGCCATTTAGATATATGTACTTGCGCAAATTCAATACAGTACTGAGTAAATAAATAAAAAAATAAACAACTTGTATTATTATTAACTTTAGAAAAAATAAGCAAAAGTAAAAATTAAGACTACGTTAAAACTCCCTTAGAGACTTTTTAATCAACAGATAATTCTTAACTGTAGAAATAAATTTATATTGGACAGTTTCTAGTAAGGAAGCATTGTCAAATGTTCAAAGTTAGTTCTCTATTAATATTAACCCTAGAAAGATAATCTACGTCTTTGAGACGCATGACCGACACAAATATTGCTATATCTTATTTATTTCGCATCGTAGCGCTCTGTCCTTCTAGGTTATCCCAGTGGCCGGACAGACCTTACGCGAGACGGCTATCTCGCCCTGGTAAGTACAATAATTACGTAGATATAGGTATGGCGTACGTTCGATAGACGTATGATTATCCTTTGTGCAACTTTTGTACCTCATTCCCTGTAGTAGTAGTTCGTTTTATTTATCATTTTTTTAATATTTTTGGTGATTTTGGTAATCTATTGCAATGGCTGGATGCAGGGCCCTTGATTATAAACAAATTGAAATAATATTGGAGAACAGTGAAGATGAGATTGGTCAGTTGATTGACTATTGAATTGGTTGACGAAGTTGCTGGGTCAACATCGGAGGAATTGCAGGTATCATCATTTCCGTCATGTGTACCCAACCAAGATTCAACTTCAAATTTTTGTAACGATTATTATTCCAACTCAAGGTATATTGCGCGGGAGAAACAAACATTGGAATTAAGGGTCAAAATAGAAGAAGAACTACAAATATAAACATAGTACGAACTTCTAGAGGGCCTACTCGCACGTGTAAAAATATTTATGAGCCTGCTGTATGCTCTTAATTATTTATAACTGACGAGATTATAATGAAATAGTGCAATGGACCAACGCTGAACTTATGCCACCTTGGGTGGAGAAAAGATCAGAAGCTCCTACTCTTAAAAGACATGGCCGTGTAAATATCCAAGTTGCTGATGAAAACTAATACTTTAGATGATAATGAAGAACCAGGAAAAAAAAAGAAGAGATATTGTGCGTATTGTCCGTCAAAAATAAGAAAGATGTCGAAAATGATATGTTATAAATGCAATAAAAGCATTTGTGGTGAACACAAAACTGATATATATATAAAGGCTGTATCTAAATGTGATCGAAACTTAAAACTTGTTGATTTTTTATATCGAGCTTTTAATTAGTTCTTATTCTATATAATATTAATAAAAAAAGGGAGATTTTAAACTCAAGATTAGCACAATTGCTCAACAAAGGAAGACTTGATATTTTTTAGATATTTTGTAAGAGGTTTACAAAATTTCTTTACGTTTTTAAATTATATTCATTTTCTTATAGTAATTATGTTTTTATTTGTCGTAGAAACCCCTAAACTAATGATTCAATAACATTTTAAAACGCGGTTTAAAGATACTTGTCCCATATGCACTTATAAATCCGAATACGTCTCAAAGACGTATGATTATCTTTCCCGTAGGTCAAAATAAGATTATCTTTCTAGGGTTAATGTGAGCATTGAAAAATTGGCCCCTCGATAGGCTTCTTTCCGGACAAGTCCGCCACAATCTCCCAAAACTATAACACCAGGATCTACAGTAGATACAACCATGCAAACACCGGAACACTGAAGTCCAACGTCCCAGGGACATGGACAACTGTCTTATATTCCTTGTTAGGGTATATGACACGCGCGGGAATAGTAGCGGTGGTGTTAAATATATACACATAGATAATTAATATGTTTACACACGTAACTGCTTGCCGAGGAACTCGACTAGTTTCAAGACATGCTAAAAGCTCATTTTCATGAGCAGTATTCCGCGATACGCGACGCCGCGATTGTCGCTGCTACTGACAAGCAGTGACTAAGTAGCAGCGACAGTCCAGTCCCAGTCCAGAGCCTCTAGCATGGCTTGAAACTAGTCGAGTTCCTCGTCAAATAATTACGTGAATGTGCCGAAAACTTGGTAAAAAATCTCTATATGTATACAAGGTGTTGTTTTAAAGCCGCGTCATTTTCTAGGAGGTAACTCGGCTATCGATTCTGAGGAAGAATCAATAAAAAGAATCGTAGGTAAATATTTTTCATTTTTAAATTACGGAAACCCGTAAGTGCGAACTACACGCCGCCGTCTTGTAACTAGCTTTATAACGCGGCCCAACACATACAAACTCAAACACGTGATTGATATTATTCCCAATTCCATAAAACTCCAATAACAAACATTTTAGTCGCTTATTCTGAAACACTGTCGAACTCAAACGAATTATTATAGCCGTATTTTTAACTATTGTCCTGAAACTTATTCTTACATTGAACCTTTATGACTTCTGTGACATGCCCCCGTGAAATGCCACGGTATTAAAACTACACCTTGTATATTTAACATCACCATTACTATTCCCGCGGGTGTCATATACTCTAATAAGGGATACAAAACAGTTGTCTATGTCCCTGAGACGTTGGAAAAACAAACAATACAATATACATAACCCAAAAAGCATAATAATGAAGTAAGTATGTGTCGCATGGACAGTAGAGAGCGTGGCACCGACCTGGCGGGCTTGTTCTTGTCGAAGAACAGCAGCTGCGACAGCTGCGACAGCGAGCCGCGCTCCCCGCGGGGACTGGCCAGCTCCGCGCGACTCGTGGACACTGCAACACGGGACTCTCTTACATACAGGGACACAGGTTATAGGTAAGTCGACATAAACCCTTCAAGAAGCGGTAGGGACAAGTCCCAGTTACAGTACAGTTGTCTTACCTCGATAACTAATAACGCGAGCGATTCAAGTTTTAGGGGGAAATCTCCCGTTGGTAGACACCTAAGATTTTTAGTAAAAATTGAATTGCTCGTTATCAGTTGTCGAAATAATCAAAGTGTCCGGCGTTAGGTGCCGTCTGACGTTACGGGACGTTCCCCTATGCATCATTTTGACTTTAGAACTCCATATCCCAACCTTACCGTTCTCAAGATATCGGCCGTTTAATTACTTTTATAAAAAAAACTAGCTTTTACCCGCGGCTTCGCTCGCGTCACAAAAGGATAAAAAGTAGCCTATATGACATATGTCATATAGGCTACTTTTTATCCTAATACCAATATACACAGCGCCATCTATACCAATACTTTTGTTTTCCCTCGGGAATATCAAATTTTTCCGGGATAAAAAGTACCCTATTATTTAATCCGGACTTATAACTTTACGTCTACAAAAATTCAAAGCAATCGGTTTAGTAGTTACTGCGTGAAAGCGGAACAAACTCCCTTTCCGATTTATAATATTAGTGAGGATACAGATTTTGGTCGATTGCATTCTTTTTTTTTGTATAATGTGTCTTAATTCGGTTCTGGTTTTTGTTATTTTCGTGTAAAAGATTAGTTGCTTTATTATTTGAAACCATACAACATACAATTGCAGTAAGCAAGTGATTATACCAACAGAGGCGCACTACACAAAGAATTATTAAACACAAAACAATTTGTGATCAGGTTTTGTTTTCTTAGTAAAATAAATAAAAAAATATATATATGACGAATGTTCTGCAGATGTTTGATAAAATATATACGATTTCTATACCATGGTAGATAGTTAGGATTATCGGAAGAAACTTTTTTTTATGGTATAGACCGGTAAACGAGCAGACGGATCATCTGATGGTAAGCAATCAGCGTCGCCCATGGACACCTGTATCCGGATACACCGAAGGCGTTACAAGTGCGTTACCGGCCTTTTGGGGATTAGGAGTTTAAGGATCGTTGGGATTCAGGGATTGGGAAAGGGAGGGCCGTCATTGTGCCTCCGGTGACGTCACCCGCCTGCACCCACGGGAGTGACCCGTGTCGTGTCCCGCTCGCCTCCGTCTGGTCTACACATGTTGTACTCACATAGATCCAGCGGCAACGACTGCAGCGAGCCTCCGTCCCACGTACTGATGCTGGTCGGGGATATCTGGGACGACATACCTGGGGGGACATACACATTATTACCTCAACTTTATAATCTTACACATCCAAGTGATACAAGTAGCACCATCTAGTTTTTCTTTGAGAAGTTAAGCGCGCACGATGTCAATTGTTAACACTAGAAAGACCGAGAATCGAAATGACCCAGCGGCAGGTCTAGATAAATCATTATTTTATTTTTTAAATATTATAAAAGTAAAAAAGTTTCAAGCACCTAAATTTAAAAATAAAAAAAAAATATGAACTGTCAAACTTGCAAATGGAACAAAATTAGGACGGCGGCCTTTATAGTGTTAATCTGTATTTGTTTCCTCTCTGTTTACTTGTCTTTACATCGCATCATCACATGGCGCCGAAATGTACTTTCTAAGTTTCTATAATAAATTACGTATAAAAAGTGTCCATCTTTTGTTTAAATCAAAATCAATCACTTGAACAGCAATATCGTATATTATTATACTATATTATGAATATCTGGGATATGAATAAGGCCGTCGGTAGAGGATGCCCTAGACGGACATATATCGCCTATATTAGTGATATACTAAAAAAGGGCCAAATAGGGATGATGACAGGGTATGATAATTAGAAATCGAATTCGTCAGTCAGCCCGTCCGTCAGTAAGGTAATGAAAAATTATTAGGCACGTTTTTTTTTTAATTTTGTCGTATAATAAAATGACACTTAGATAAAACGTTAAAGTTTAGGAGTGGAAGCTAACTACGTCATTTTAGAGTATAAATCGTACTCAAAAGTGACGTCACGCGACATTTCAAATCAATATATCTTCAAAACTATACGTTTCCTTAAAAAAATAAAAAATACGTGTGTAATATTTTTAAATAATGTACCAGACGGATATTAAAAAAAAATGAGTCATCTACCCCATTAGAAGTCCCTCAATAAGTACGTACTGATGGTATCGTCGCAGTGCGAGGCGGAGGACGAGCCGGAGTTGTTGGCGACGTCGTGGGCGGCGCGCCGGGACGCCTTCAGCGGCTTCGGGTTCAGCTCCGGGTACTTGCGGGGCTGCCGGACATACTTCTCATACATACCACACTTCGCCATGGGTTTCGATGTCGATTAACAATATTAATCGACAAAAAAAATAGTTCGTTAATCGCGGGTCGCGGAATGTTGCTCATGAATATGAGCCTCTAGCATGGCTTGAAACTAGTCGAGTTCCTCGTCAAACAGTTACGTGAGTAAGTCGAAAAGCATAACAATACAAAATGAGCTTGTCTAATCTTCAAACACCAAGCATGGTTTGGAACTAGTCGAGTCCTCTTTGAATAAGCTGTAAATCGATTGCTTGCAATTCGTACGAAATTTACTCGTCAAAAGTCATCTTTAACTCGTCGAGTACCGTCATTATAGACACAATTATAGAACAATAGGTTGCGGTCACCGGTGACCTCGCGGTGTTTGACAGTTTAATACAAAAATACATTATTAACATTAAATTATTTAATTCGTAATAATATCTTAACTGGTACAATACTCACAAACTTAGGCAGCTGCTTGGCGAGTCTAGGTTCGATTTCTAAACTCTTTGCGTATAAATAGTTTGTGATCTCGTTGTCATCCTTGCCCGGGAACGGATCCAGAGATTCTAGGAACGCCTGCAATAGGAAAAAAAAAACGATTTAGTATGTAGAAATTCATATTATGAATTATTATGTTTAATGGCTAGGATTAAAACGAGACGAGTTTTTCGACAAAGTTACGGGAATAAGCCTTTTAAACATAATACATTAATTTAGTATGTCTCACGAGTAAAATACACCGTGAAATCTATTTCGTTTTCGTCCCGAAGTAAAATGTTACTGTCTCGTTAGTACAATAGTTTTACAAAGAAATAACTGCCTCGTTGGCCGTGTGGTCGCAAGTGCGACTGCCGGGCAAGGGGTCTCGGGTTCGATTCCCGGGTCGGGCAAAGCATAAATGGGTTTTTAAACAAATCTCAGTAGTAGTACGAAGTCTGGAATTGTGCCCAGTATATGGCAATAGGCTCACCCCCTATTACATAGGACTCATAACATAAATAGTGAAAAGTGGGTGGTACATTGTACAGTGGCATAATGTACACCTCTGCCTACCCTTTCGAGGATAAAAAGCGTGATGTTATATTATAAAGAAACAAAATGTTTAAAACAAAAATTAAATGGTGAACCATTGCAGAAAGCAAACTTCGAAAGCGCATACGAACTCATAGTACATTATCAAAACATCCCGCCATGTCATTGTCGAAGAGGTATTTCTCGTCGGGAGGCACGTGCGATGGGAATAGTGCGTACACATTTACATCTAGTGTTTCATGTGCGAATTTCCTATAATTTATTTTTTGTTTTTACTTTATACATCGAAAGTACTCCTTACGGCAAGTTGTTTAGCCGCGGGACGAAAACGAAATAGATTTCACAATGTATATCAAATAGTATGACACTCACCCGAGTCTTGGGTTCGACAGTGAGGCAGTAGGGTTGGTTCTGGTATTGTTGTATCTCGCCTGTGATCTCAGCCACTTTGCGTCGCTTTGAGAAATTTATTAATTCTGAGTCGGGGAGGTAATCTGAAAACATACCATGTTACAATATAATATGACTATTAGAGAGTATTACGTTGAAACAATCTTATACTATTATACAAGGTATTGTTTTAAAGCCGCGTCATTTTCAAGGAGGTAACTCGGCTATCGATTCTGGGACCGAATCAATAAAAAAAAATTGTAGGTAAATATTTTTCATTTTTGTATAAATTACGGAAATCCGTAAGAACTACACGCCGCCGTCTTGTAACTAGCTTTATAACGCGGCCCAACACACACAAACTCAAACACGTGATTGATATTATTCCCAATTCCATAAAACTCCAAAGAAACATTGCTGTCGCTTATTAGGAAACACTGTCGAACTTAAACGATTTATTATAGCCGTATTTTTAACTATTGGTCCGAAACTTTCTCTTACATTGAACCTTTATGACTTTTGTGACATGCCCCCGAGTCTTAGGTTCGACAGTGAGGCAGTACGGTTGGTTCTGGTATTGTTGTATGCCACGGTTTCAAAACTACACCTTGTATAAAGCGGCAGACTTTGTTTGAACGCGCTAATCTCCGTAACTACAAGTCTGATTTGAATAATTATTGTTTGTGTTGGATAGCGCATTTATTGAGGATGATTATAAGCTATAAAACACCACGCTACGACCAATAGGAGCTGAGCAGAGCTTGTAAAACCGCGCGCAAGTAGCTAGTTCTTTTATCACCTACATTTTAAAACTTTACTTCAACCCTCTCCCTCCCATTTTGAAGTCAGTTAATTAACTCGTCGAGTACCGTCATTATAGCCACAATTATAGAACAATAGGTTGCGGTCACCGGTGACCGCTTGGTGTTTGACAGTTTAATATACTAACACTTTTCTAAAAACCACATCTAAATCGGTTCGCACAAATACACAAACACACATACAGGTCTTTAGAGAACACAGAGTACAGTTCTCTAAGATCGGAAAGGGAAGATCCTCCGAAGGCGAGGTGTACGTCGTGAACTCCACAAGTGGGATGTAAGGTTTTGTGACGTCATCCGTAGATTTGTTTAATTGACAGTCTGTGTACGTGGACTGTCACGCTGTCACGCTGTCACTTGACGTGGGACATATGTCGCCACAGATCTAACTGAGAGCCTCCCTTCTTGAAGTCGGTTAAAAATCACTAGTATCAAATAAAAAACTTATAAAATAAATTGGTAACTGAATACGTACCTAGGTTCCCCTCCTCAATATGCAATATATTAGTCAGATACATGCCGAAGAAAGGCACACACGGCGGGTTTATACTCCTCAACTTCTCTTGATACCGTCTGAAATGGTCAGAGTTCAGTTCCCGGAACTCGTCTAGTGCTTTAGACAGCCTGAGGGGCAGGAGTTGGAAGGTGGCTCGGAGCCGATGTACTGAAGCTGAGCCGCAGGCCGCGACTACTGCCAGTACCCCGTTGAAGTTGTTGAGTTGTCGTAATGCTACGCTCAGTTCCAACACTCTACATACGACTCCGACCCGTTCTTCCAAGTTTTCGCTCTCGACTATCCATTTTTCCATCCAGCGTGTGAACTGAAAATATTAAAATATAGGTACATTAAGATTTATTTCATCAAATTTATCAACAACCTATAACTACCCACTGCTAACCAAAGGCCTCTCACACGGAGAAGGTTTGAGCATTAATCACCACGCTGGCTCTATGCGAGGACGATTTCAAACCTATAATTAGAAATTATAAGCCCAGGTTTCCTCCCGATATTTTCCTTCACCGTTTGTCAGTGGTGTCTAGATAATATTAGAACGTACATATAACTCGGAAAACGTCACATTGGTACTTGTCAGGTTTCGAGCCTGTACCCTGATGCATTTTATTAATTTAAATGATTAAAAACCATATTTTCGACCCTAAAAATAGTGAAATATCCTATAAATTAATATGTATTTATGTATATATAGCTACTGACATTGGTGGTATGTTTGATAATCCTCAACAAGTTGGGGCTGGTCTTCTCCTTGTCCTTCTTCGTCCACACTGCACCCACCAGCTCTGATGGTTTCACCTGCAAATAACAACAATATTTGTTTATTTATTTAAGTTTTTATACAATTGCATAAGGAAGACTTAATGCTAACAGCATTCTTTGCCAGTCATCCTTTGGGTAGTGCAGAAATGCATGTGGTAGGTGGTAAGCTGCAAAAATGTTTTAAAGTGTGGGAGAGCCATGCTTCGGCACTACTGGGCCGGCTCGACCGGAGTGATACCACGGCCGAGCAGAAAACCGACGTGAAGCAACGCTTGCGTTATGTTTCGTCGTGTGAGTAAGGTTATCGGAGGCCCAATTACCCTCCCCTTCCCCAATCTCCGCAAATTCTGAATCCCCAACGATCCTCAAACTCTTAATCCCCAAAAGGCCGATAACACACTTGTAACGCTTCTGGTGTTCCAGGTGTCCATGGGCGACGCCGATTGCTTACCATCAGGCCGATACGTCTGCTCGTTTATCGGCTTATGCCATAAAAAAAAATGTTATGAGAGATAGTGGTAATTATCCAAATTAATAAAAGAGCATCAAAAGCATACATAAAATATCATTATACATATAAATCTATCTATGAGCCGTGTATGATTTTATCCTATATTACAACAAGATGAAAACTAATAAAGGATGTTATGAAACTGCCAGCTTTCCGCTAATGTACTCTCGCGCCCTCCGCTTGAAACTCAGACGACTGGTTGCGGTTCTGACATTCGTTGGAAGCGTGTTCCAGAGAGAAACGACTTGTATGAAGAAAGAAGAATGAGTAAAGTTACTGCGATGGACAGGACAGGGCAAAAGCCGATTATGCGAGGAGCGTAGATTTCTAGTACTTTTTTTTGTTGCACAAGCTCGCCACCACCTCCCAAAACCGCTGCAACTCCTGATTCGTTCAGGAATCGAAACTAGAACACGTTGTTTGAGATCCAGCTGCTTAGCCATTGCTGTGCAATTATAATTTAAGTCTCCTCAGGGTATAAGACACCGACGTGAAGATTAACGAAAGGCGTACCGCTCGGGCTCCGCCACGTGGGGGGGCGGGGGGGACATCGTTGGTATACATACCTGTCTATAGAGATGGAACTCCAGCAGCGTGAGTTGCCTGGCGAGCTCGAGCGGATGCAGCGCCAGTGGGTGCCAGGCGTACCGCTCGGGCTCCGCCACGTGTCGCAGCGGGGTGGGGGGGAGCCGGTCGAACACGTGCGACACCGCGCCGCTCAGGGCTTCGCATTCTGGCGGGGGCTGGCTCTGGAATACAAATGATTTTCATTCAACTACGTTTAAAATAATCAACTTCATTTATTTTTTGTAACCTAAATGTAACAAACAAACATCATGAAGTCATGACTTAACAAACAGCCAGTTCGATACCCGCTAAGGGCAGATTCTCCAAGCGGCTCAGAGCGTCTACAACAAAGATATTGGCAACAAAGCGCTCTGCAACAACACCACCAAAACACCGAGAGGGAAAATAAAAAATTAGAATCACGAGGTTGAGTGTGGGCACATTCTACCTCGTGATTCCAATTTTTATAAAATAACAGCGGCCGTATGCTCAGTAACCAGACTCATTTTGTCAACCTTCAGGAAAAATGCGGAAATAAACAAATCTATCTGCTCAAGGACCAGGAGGCTATTGCGCTCAAATAGAGTCTGCTCCCTCTAGCTCATCACCAACAAAAGCAGCTATGGGTCACGGTTGTCCGCCGAGGCTTCGACGAGGGTCCACTACCAGAGACCATGTCGTAAACGGTTTTCTCGAGTTTACAGCAGTGGTGGAGGCAACTAGGCAGGTCAACTTGCGGAAATGCGAATCCATCCTGCAGGCTTACCTGCAGGGTAACGAGCTAATGCTGAACGTTAGACTCGAAGTAGCAGAAGCAGTCGTATATGACAACAACACCTCGAGGGTACTGAGAGGAACCTCTATAACTTGAAATATGGCTGCTTATAACGCAACTAGAGGATTCGTGTCTCTGGACGAAAGGGAATCCGTTCAATGCGGAGTGTTAAAGTTTAAAACTCCTCCTGGGGATTCCCTTGTAGTGGTTGCCAAGTGCACCAAAATTATGCTGGACGATGGAATATTGAAGACGGCAAGATCCATTTCTGAATCTGGACCGAAGGCGAAGTCTTTGGGGACTGGCATACGCAGAGGATTCGCTGGACGACGCTAGATGCGGAAAAACGACATGGATAGTAGATCAATTTGAAGCGGACAAAGATCTAATTGTCACCACAACAACTGAAGCAGCAATCAACCTCAGAGGCAAACTATCCTGCCGAATCGGAGGACTAGTCAAATCTAGGGTTCAAACAATGGCGTCAATCCTAGTAAACGGCTTGGAGGAGCGAGAGATCTGCCATCGACTAATAGTAGATGAGGCTCCCATGAACCACTTTGGAGCCTTTGTGATGGCCGCCCGAATAACTTGAGCCAAAGAAAGGTCCTTCTAATTGGTGACATAAATCAACTTCCGTTCATAGATTGTGATAACCTCTTCCCTCTACTCTACAGCCGCCCTACATAAATCACACAATTCCTGGCTTATGGGTCACAGAAATCCAATGGATGTGGCGTATGCCCTCAGCACAGTTTACAGTGGCATATACTCGTCCAGGTCGTTCGTGAGATCCCTCGAGATAAAAAGGTTCTCGGGAGCGATGATTCCAAAATCACTCCCCGACACTTTATACCTGGTACACACTCAGGCAGAGAAGGAATCCCTTAAGAACCAGGGATACGGGTCGACCGTGGGATCACGCGTGCTCACGATACACGAGGCACAGGGACTTTCGTGTGCGAATGTGATTGTTGTCAACAGAGCACCGAAGAAACATCAAATACATGAGAGCGTACCATACGCGGTAGTAGCAATATCGCGTCACACGCATGGTTGCATCTATTACACAGACAACAGTGAAGACGCAATAAGCAAACTAATCAGAAGTTGCCAGGCTTATGAGAGTGAGCAAGGGATTAAGGACTACAACCTGAAAATGGCTATCAAACACAGGGACGCGGCAGTTGTGGGTGCTCTCTTGGGCGGGGAATGTTGCTTGTGATAAAACGAATGCAACAATTCTCAAAACCACGTCAACATTGGTCCAACTAATCTAAACAATCGCGAACAGACATACGTACAGGTCAAACTCGTTCGTTGCTTAACAAATTACACTTAACACTCTCACCGCTAATACTTAATTTCCCAGACCTAAATTTTTATGATGTTTGTTTTTTTCTCCCTCATATGCTTATTAATGATATTTATTAGTGTTTTTTTCTCATTAGCTATCCCCTTTTATTTTTCAGGATTTTAGGAGCGTGTATTAAACATTTTACATGGTCCCACGAAACATATATTTCTGATGATTTGTGGGCCGTATGTATCATTTTTGATACACATTGTAGTAACAAGAATGTGCAAAATGATACCCAGGCGCTGAGGGTGTTAAGCTAGGTTCTATATTGTGTCGGGGTGTTGTCTTGTGGCGCAATATGTCGCATTTTTAAATCATACTCATTTTAAGAGTTGTAGAGTGTTACGCGTTTTAAAATGGAATCGTCTGAAGACAGTGACTTCTATGAAGATATTCAATTTTTTCTATTAATGACTCTATATTCCTTACAATTTGTGTCATAGAGAACTTTGTATTGCCGTACTAATTCAATAAGTTCATCAGACATTTTAAAGAACGAGGGAATTTATTAGAATTATAATAATTGCATGAACAGTGTTCCCTCGCAATAACGGGTCGTAAATGATAGATTCATTCATACTAGTGTGGCGCGACAGATCCCCCACCACTTCTCTGGCGCGATCGGGCGTCGAGCGATTCTACCGCGAGTATGCGTTACGATTACTTTGCACGTAAAACAAACACGTACTAAGGCCTCAGTAAAAGTAAGTTACTTTAGGCACACCCTCGCGCTAAGCAACTCTTAATTAAGAGATTCTTTGGTGAAAACGGTCATAAATTAAGTAACAAAACTTAAATCATTGTCTCCTGAATTAAATTCACTAAGAGAAGTGCAAAACTATTTCGTTTTCGTCTCCTCTAATAACATCTTTCGATATATTTCGTCGCTCATACAAGACAGTTGTCCATGTCCCTGGGACGTTGGACTTCAGTGTTCCAATATTTGCATGGTTGTATCTACTGCAGATCCTGGTACAGGAGCAGTGGTTTTGGGAGGTTGTGGCGTGCTTGTCCCAGTATGAAAAGGCTCAATTCCCCAAATCCTCAAACCCCCAAAAGGCCTTCAATGCACTAGTCCTTTAGTGTTGCGGGTATCTATGGGTGCTGATTGTTTACCATCAGGTGATCCGTGAGCTCTATACAACTTACCTTCCTCTGCAGTGTCTTCAGTACGCTCTGCACCCACTTCTTCATGGGCTTGCCATCAACTGACTCCAGGAACTCCCTGAGTCTCTCCAGCAGTGCAGGCTCGCGCTCGAAATCGTAGAAATGTTGGTCCACCCAATGTCGGAGTACGTTGATTACCCTGCAACATAAAATTTATTTTATTCATAGGATCAGCTAATAGTAGCATTCCGACTTCTCCTGTCCCGTGTGAGGCGAGGGAGTGTCAGACTCTTACTGACTAAACACCACCCAGTTCCTACTCCTGCATAGAGCCGGAGCCCCGGTAACCTGACAAGTCTCTCCGGCAGTTGCAGCACGTATTCATATATTTCTAAATAATAATAATCGTCATCATCAAAAGCCTGACTACGTCCACTGAAGAACAAAGTTCCTCCCCCGTAGTCCTCCACGAATAATCGAATCCCGAAAATGTACTATTTCGAATTATTTGACAACGAATTCGTACGTTCATAAACAACAAATAACGTGTCTTCAAGGTCACGAAATGTCCAACGAAAATATACCAGAACATTGGTGTTTCTCAATATATCTTTATATATATAATTCTTCTGTGAGTGTGTATGTCACTGAACTTCTCTCAAACGACTGGACCGATTTTGATGACATTTTTTGTGTGTGTTCAAGGGGATCTGGGAATGGTTTAGATTTACAAATCAGCCCAGCAGATGGCGCTGCAGTCGTTAGCTGTTTAGGTTATTTATCCTAAACAGCTGAACTGAATGAATTTTTGTTTATACATTCAAGTGGATATGCAGGGCAACGTCTGTTGGGTCCGCTAGTACATATATAGATTTGATGTTAGAAATATTTAATATACGTTGGTGATATAATCCCTTGAGCTGGCTGTAAGCCTGAATGTGGCAGGTTGCTATAGTGCTGCAATTTAGCCTCTATATCTAAGACAGTAAGGCCCAGTATCGTATACCAACTGACCTGAATTTGACGGGTTGCTGGAACTCCTTCCTGTACCGCTTCCAGTCCTCCCGCGCCGTGTTCTTGCTCAACTTCTCCGCGTCACTGCTCGCCACGCTCTCTATACTCTCCGCTGTTGGAAATAATAATAATAATACTATCATTTACTGTACTCAAAAATATACGTACATTATTCGACAATCTATAGACATATTATACATAAATAAAACTGTTAAAGAAATATTATTAATGACAAGGCATTTTGAAAGATAATGTACAGTCGATTTATTATGGAATAAGCCGGCAAACGAGCTGACAGATCACCACGTAAGCAATCGGCGTCGCCCATGGACACCTGGAACACCAGAGGCGTTACAAGTGCGTTACCGGCCTTTTGGACATTAGGAATTGGGAGATTGGGGACGGCAATTGGGCATCCAATACCCTCACTGTCACGACTACACAACGCTGCGGTTGTTTCACTATGGTTTTCTGTTCGTTGGTGGTACCACTCCGGTCGAGCCGGCACAGCAGTGCCGAAGCAAGGCGAGCCCACACTTTAACTAGGCCGTTGGAAGGAATTGATAAGATTATGATTCATTACATCTGGACCTTGTTATTGTGCAATCGTAAAGCGAAGAAGACGCTATTAACTATATCATAACATCACACCGTTCTATCCTCGAAAGGGTACGCAGAAGTGGACATTACGGCACTTAATGCCTAAATTATAACTACAATACATTACCTAGATCAATATCCAGTAGCGAGGAGTTAGGACTCACGTCCTTTTTGGGAGTCTTGATCCTTGGGACTAGCGTGCGCAAATATAATATACACATCACATACTGCTACATAATATAGTGTTGATCATACATAGTAGGTCTATTCATTCAATTCAGTAGTTGGACAGCATTGTCATTGATATATTTATTTATTTATTCTTTTATGTACACAATTTTACTATGGCACATAAGGCGAACTTAATGCCATATGGCATTCTCTACCAGTCAACCAGATAAAGAGATATATAGATATCATATATGAGATCGACATAAGATAAAGTCAGTGTATAAGATTTGAATTTTATATTCTGTTCGACTAGCGTGCAGCGTGATTTCAAGCATTGAATTGAACCTGACTTTCAATCATGCATACGACCATACTTATTCCAGCCATTAGACTTAATAGATAACAAATAATAAATAAC